CCAATACAGGGAAAAAAAGAAGAAAAAAAAAAGGAAAAATATTGGACACTATATAGCCCAACCAACAACACGCACATCTTAAAGACAGGAAACAAAATAATGAGAGATAGTTAATTACGTAAAAATTAAAGCGAGTTACCGGAAGAAAAGCGTGAAAAACTGTTTTAGATCAAATGATTTATGTAATTACTATTAAATAACGTAACGATCGTACAAAAAATATACGATAAGGATATTGATTAGAGAATGTGCTAATTCGTTACACTATAGAATGTATGTACTTTACTCAATCATATAAAATAAGTAGCAGTAGAGCTCCTTGTGAAAGAGTTTGTCCAGGAAAGTACTGCCACCTTACTTATTTCTGCGGCCAAGTAGAAGGTAATGTGAGCATTACTGCGTGCTGGTTTGAAAGGGTAAGGGTGCTGGTGAAATTACAGGCACATGGGACTTATCAACGTCTGTCTCAGGGTGACGGGCGTAGTGGCAGTACCCCTCAGATCGACATGAGGCATTACGACTGTTATGGACAGGCATGTCGCTTACCTTCAGGCGCACGACTTGTTCGTTCCATCACTTAATATTAAAAAAAACCGCCAATTTCAAAATCTATAATTGTTGTGTTGTGTTGTGAACCATATTTATTCATACAAGAAATAAACATTGTATTTATTTCCTTGCAAATGTTATGAAAAACATTGTATGTATTACAGACGGTAAAAAATACAAAACTCGAGTTATTAAAATCCTCAATCTTCGGCTTCGGGCTTCTAATCGACCTTCTTTAGTAATTTCTTATTCACCGTCCTACACAACATTTATACACAATGATAGTACATTAAATAACGATCTTACAAAAAATATACGACCCACCCAAGGATATTACCTAAAGAATGTGCTAATGTGTTACACGATAGGACGTACTTTATCCTATCATATAAAATCCTGAAAATAGGTTAAAACAAAAGTTTAAAACGAATAATGTAAGAATAAATCATCTAACTTTGCACATAATTTTTATAAGGAGGTATTTCTCTTTAAGTACTACTGAGAACGTGCTAAATTTTAATTTGCAATTGAAACCTTATAGTAATTAAATTCACATTTATCCAAAAACTTGACAATTGCCGAGCGGTTAAAGACACGGCGCGCCGCCCTCGGCCCCGTCAACGTCGGATCTGTATCAAATCTTCTGCCTCTGCCTCTGTCTGCCTGTTCTTATTTTAATTAATATTAATTTTAAGCATGCAGGTTACAGGATGCGAGGGGCGGTCCCCCCACACCTCACCTCCGAAAAATCTAGGCTCGCATTCAGATACCTCGACTTAAACTCACGATATATACCTAGTACAGGGTCAAGAGCCCGTCAAGCTTGACACTTAAGATTTCAATCCAACTCTATGCCGCTTACGCAGTTGTGAGTAATTAGGCTACGTATCATAGCATAATTCATACCTCGGGATTTTGGGCGTATGACCTACTACTGAACCACCGTGTTACGATAAGAACGGCCCAAAGTACAAAGTGTCAAGCTTGATGTGCTCTTGACTGGACCATAAACTCTTTGAATTATTTAAGATTACTCCATAACTTTTTTCACGGCTTTTACGCTATATCTTCCCCAAAAGTATCGAATACTCTTTTAGATACAACATAAAATAAGGTTATAATAATAGTTTTAATATATAGGGTCAGGTGGTGTAAGAGGAAAGCCGGAGTAAGAGGGACTTGAAGTTTAACTCATAATCTAAAGACTTTAGCACTATAGTCTCTCAGACGATAAAGCAGACAAACCTATTAGTTGAAACGATTTTAAAGAGATGTCGCTACTATGCTCCAAATTCAAAAGGCGGAAAAAACCAAATTTGACAGTTGTGAAATCTGAACAAGAGGATGAGGAAGATTACCTTTATAAGAAATACGATGATTGTTCGTTTTACCTCTTACCCCATTTTTTGGGGGAAGAGAAATGTTAGCACAATTTGTACGTTTTCGTAAGTACGTATTGAGTTGAGCGTAATGTTTGTTAAAACATGTAAAACTGATAAACAAAGGAAGGTTTAGTACACTTATTGAGATTTTTTGTGAAATAGCTACACTAGTTTTGTTATTATTATGTCAGGAAAGCGACATCTGCGTCTGGTGTGATACCTGTAATGGTATCGGCTGCGGAGAAGGTCATTCAAAAGTCGACGAATGCCGAAAATCAGTACAAAGATCTATAACAAAAACACATGGGAGAATTTTGACGACCCGGTAACTGAACCTGTAGCTCGGTTGGTAGGAGCAATGCTACGGTGCAGCATGGAGGTGGGTTCAAGTCTCTGTGTGTTCGATCTTTGTATTCATAATCATAAATTTAGTGAAACTTCAGAAGTCTTATAAAGAGTTTATTTGCCTCCTCTAGAGCTCAAAAAACTTTTGACTCAAAATAAAGTGTGTTCCTCTTACCCCATTTGACGATAAGATATATTTAATAAAAACTGCTTCTCTTTGCACTTTGGAGATAAAAGAACACTTCAACCAGAAACATAAAAAACTTACCACAGATCATAAGATTGTCCAGAAGAATTGATAACAGAAAGTCGAAATAGCAGCACGGTGAATACATAGATGAGGACCGAATGGTACACAGCAGCGCCCAACCACGCCATGAAAGGACGCCACGTCATCAGTTTGTTCCGACTTATTTCACGATACAGGGTTGGGTTCCTTTAAATATGAAGAACACTTCATTAATAAATTGTTTTCTATATATTCTAGAAATACGTTTCAGAACAGGCATTGACTTACAAATAAATGGACGACGGGTCTAATACAAAAACCACGAAAAAAATGTCCCAAGTCAGCCTATTTAAACGTAGTGACATATAAAGGAATATGAAAGCAAAAACGTTGAATTTAAATTGTAATGTCATCGCAGTACTGTCTAATTTTGCTTGCTTCTCTGTCAGTCGAACAAACGAAGACTAAAGCGTGAATGACGCTCTGTATACGATTTTAACGCCCTATAAGTTCGGACACTTTTTAGCGCGGACCCGACGTCCATATAATTGTAAGTCAATGAGAACAGGCGATAAATCTAGGGTCGGCGGACTAAATCACATAAATCAAAAAAGTATTTCATGTGTTAATATATAATTACATATTTTTTGTGTTGTTTATAGTGTTGGTAGATGTGAAAAGAACAATAAATTTGAAAAAGACCCCTCTAGAATAAAGTTACAAGTTTATGAAGTAAGAAATGAATTTAACTTATGTGCTTTAGCCGGTAGATGTATTAATTTTTTGTGGAATTACTCCACTAGTTTGTTATAATTACTAATTATAAGAAACTAGTGGTGCGGGGGTGTATTAATAACAATTAGAAATAATTATATAACAATGTATGATAGTTACATCATTATTTCTAATAATTGTTTTTTAGAAATAAGGTAGGAAGTTTACGAATATAGCCGATTATTGGTGAACGTTAATTACAATACAAAAAATAATAAATTAATAAAATATTATTCATTGCACACCAAGATTACAATGACAACACAGAACAGTAATGTAAGTATCACAGAGTAAGCCAATATACAACAGGCGGCCTTATTGCTCAGTAGCAATTTCTTCCAGGCAACCTTAGGAATTTAAGAGTTGGAAAGAAAATTATAGGCTTACGTAGATTGGTGTATGAATAAACTGTATTCTATATAATAACATCAGAACCTGGTAAAGAGGTTGTACAAGAAGATACAACTTATCGTACGAGGAATAGACTCTAAGTTCACTTACTTAAGAAGCAAATTCGCTGGCCAGCGTTGATCAGTGACCGCGAGAATGATTATCGGCAAACTATTGAAGACGAGGTTGAACAAAGTGAGATACATGGAGTCATAGATCGATTGTGTCGAGAACATTGCGTGGTATTGGAAGAATAACTGTGGACCGAAAAAAAAAACAATTCCTCAATTCGAAAAAATAACATCATTTCCTAAGTTATATTTTTATTTATAATTACAAAACGTTTCTTCTAAATTCACTTCCGTAGTAAAGTTCTTAATTGCTAAATAACACATGAATAATATAGAACAAAATACCTTATACAACCTTTATATGACTATGTCTTACAGGTTTATAAGCACTGTAAGTGTAAGTTGTACGAAATAAATATATAAATAACAAACACAATACAATATAATTCCGAGACTTCAAACCATTTAAAATATGTACCTATGTATTTCTTTAGATTTCAGGCGAATATACTACTCTACCTGGAATTGGAAATAAAACTATTTTTTCGAATCTATAAATGTATATATTTGTTTTTCCAAGCGTTTCGGGCCCTTTACAGGTCCCTTGGTTATGACTGACTCAGATGGTATAGTCGTCAACGAGTTATATCTAATATTAATGCAAACCTAAAATTTCATTATAGTTACAAAAAAGTACGCAATTTAGATCCGAAAAAGTAGTTTTATTTCCGATGTATATCAATCGCGAACACCTGAGCATTCTATTTATTATGTCATATCGTCATCTTAGTTTCTCAAACTCGTATCTTAAGCCACGAAGGTACTGACTTTTACTTATTCTTAAAGTAATGCATCGAAATTAACACCCTTGATAAGAAATTTAAAATAAATAGAATGTTTTACTATGTCCTGAATAATCATTCGTTATAAGATACGAGTTTGAGAAAGTAAGGCATCGATATTTCGTCATATCTAAAGAGAATTTAATCACTCGTATGTTGAACGCTGAAGGTGGACTTCATCAATCGAGAATCAGCACTGTAGGCTTTAGATAAATAGGTTCCGGGTTCGATGGCGAAAACCAAAGAATTCGATATCTAAATAAAGTTGTCAAAAATGTCTCAGCTGTTAAGTTACTATCGTTATAACACGATATACACGGTGTCCCTGACGACGTTGGTTTTTTCCATTTTTGTATTTTTTATAAATTTAAATAATTTGTAAAAGTAGTGGATGAAAATAAAGCTGCTTGTTAGAGACACCGGACGGATGAAATCCTAATCACTGAACTGCAGGTTTAGCTACATTGAGATGGTATATCCATGTTTAGTCTATGAATATTAAAGAGGCAGAAATGAACTCCGAGATTAGAGTGACAGACACCTCAGCCGGCCCAAGATCCGTGGCCCGTTTCGCGGCCCGCGTCGCGCGTTTAGCGCATACGCGCCGTGGGTCAAAAGGCCTCGTTAGCGCGCCCGTGTTCGCCCGTGGCGGCGTGTTCGGATCCGGATTTTTTCGGATCTAAACCGCGTATATTTCTTTTTTCAAACAAACCAATGTTTCCGGCCCTTGTTCCATGGTCACGGCTAACTGTTTGTTTACATAATTTTATGCGTTTCAAAATAGTATCAATGTATTTAGTAAATTCGGCGGTGTTTTTATAGTGAACACAAATATTAATTACGCACGAAAATAATACACATTTAAAAATAAATAATTTCATTACGAAGTAAACACACATATTAATTTATTTCCATCGTTTTCGTTATATACATTTTTTCGAAATAAATTCACAGGCGCGGATTTCAGTTTTTAATGTTTTTATTGTTCCCGTCAAATTGGCTTACACATTTATTCGGTAGGGACGTCGAATTTTCGCTGGTTCGTTATGGTAACGTATCTATATAAAAAAAAATATGGAACTTACCATAATATTAACCAAGACTAGATTCTTGTAGAAAAAGTAATGTATAAGCGTTGCTAGCCTCTGGTAATACCAGTGGCCCATTACTAGTAACATTTTTTTTAGCATAGAGAATTTCGTGAACGCGAAATCCGCAGATCTGAAAATGAAAAACAAGATTCTTCAAAAGTCCCTTGCATCACCAAGAGGTGAATCATGCTGTTTTTAATCGTAATATAAATAATAATAATAATAATCTTTATTTCACAAAATAGTTTACAACATGAAGTCCCTTACTCCTGAGCTAGGTATAACCTGTGTGACAGGACCCAAATTTTGACAAGGCTTTGTCTTCTTTCTCATGAAATCAATCATGAGAAAAAAAGAAAGTGGTAGAATTTATTATAATTATAGCACTGTTTCTAATAATTATTATAAGTTGGATACACTTTAATATGCAAATTGTGGTAAATGTGGCTGTATGAGCGAGCGAGTGTGTGTGTGATGTGTGTGGTGTGTGTTTGTGCATATAAATAATTGTGTTCCGTTAAAATCAAACACCGCGTCCATTAGTGTTAAAGAGTATTTCAAAGAGATTGATCCTATCAGTGTTGCCAGTATTCTTGCCTTAAGTTCTTAACTCAAAAAGAAAAAGGAACACAAAAAACAATAATCAGTGTTAGAATAGTTTATTGCACGAAACTGAGATGCAAGCTGAAAAAACAAAGAAAATAAATACCGAAATAACAGAATTAATACAAATCAACGACGACGACAACTACTCCAAAATTGCAGACCTAATTTATAAGCACCTTATATAATATTAGTAGGTAGGCACTTATACATATAAGTCTGTACCTCTGTCGTGTACAACTGTCTCATAAAAAGTCTTTTTGGCACTGACCCGTCATCATTTTTCTATAACTTTCTCTGATATATTTTAAATCTTTATTCAGCTTTGCATTGCTATAGCCTGGTGTACGTTACCTAGCAGCCTGATGCCCCTCTTTGCCGAAAATACCGAAACCGACATGCGCTTCTTGGATCATAGAGATGTCATTAGCACCATCGCCGATCGCCGCCGTGATCGGCTTGTGCTTGCTCTGCTTTATTAGTTTTACTATCTGTAATAAAAATTGTAATAAGCAAACCAACCTTCCTACTACTTACAACTTAAAAGTACCTACATTGGCTTAATGAAAGCAGTTCTAAATTTAAATTGACCAATCACACTGCATTCTTAATTTGAGTTAATTGACTACAATATCCACGAGTTTGATCTTTTAACCCACTTATTAGTTCTATTCCTCAAACTGAACAACTATTGATCGATATCTTTTGAAAATTCAAATAAACTTTTACTTTCAAACAGAAAACCCACATCCACGGATTTGTCCGTTTCAGCCGAGTGCAAGGTAATTTCTCCAAAAACTTTTCTCCTATGGAAACAACAAATAGTTTAGAAAATACCTACTGATTAATTCATTTGACTTACATTAGCTTTTTGCAGTGGAGATAGCCTACAACATAAAACAGCATTGCAGTTTAACGCAATATCAGAAAACATTGTTGCATATGGCGTATCCAGTATATAACTCATACTAGCCCCATCTACAATCAACGTTAAGTCCCGATAACTTGGTTGTTCTGTGATGCGCTTACATTCAGCCAGATGGGGTTCTATTGCGCTCTCATCCGATACTCCTATAATGGACATAGAGCGGTCGTTGTCTGTTATGTGGGCACACGATTTTGCTACATTTATTGCTGTTTCTACCTGAAATATAAAAGTCGTCATGAAAGTGTGTATTTATTTTTTCAAACAATTACACAACATTGCAGTAAATTACCTAGGCACTGTGTATACATAAGGCTTACCGTAGACAGGAGAGGCGTTGAAGCGTTCGGATCCTGCATGCATTCCCGGCCCGATCAGAACACTTATTGGATGCATCACACCTCAATTCCCTTAAAGGATTAGCTATGGGAACCCTCATGTTTACGCAATAAAAAGTCGTGTAACTGATATGAAGAACAAGTCGTACGCCTGGTGGTAAGCAACACGCCTATTCATAACAGTTGAAGTGCCACTCAAGAGCTTATCCTTACATCTGAGGGGCACTGCTACCGCACCCGTCACCAAGAGATACTACTCTGGTCTCTTTCACAAGAAACTCTTGTACTGCATGACATCGCCGCAGCTATCTGCAGTGAGGTGATTCTTCCTCTTCTGGGATCTTACTTTTTCGTGGCCTACCAATCGTCCACGGAGGCCTTCCGCTACGCGCTAACCCACGCCTCTAAATATTTTCAAATTTATCAATTATTGGTAGCTAACCCCTTTCTGCACGTTTATAAATCAGGGAGTTGAAACAACTGAAGTAGCATTAGAGCTCCTTGTGAAAGAGTTCATCCAGGGAAGTACTGCTTACTTACCTATTTCTGCCGCCAAGCAGTAATGTCACCATTAATGTGTTTCGGTTTTGAAGGGTACGTGTGCTGGTGAAATTACAGACAAGAGACTTGTCAACTTATGTCTAAGGGTGACGGGCGTAGTGGCAGTGCCTCTCAGATCTTTGCGATTTAAAGCTCTGCGTGGCACTGCAACTGTTATGGACTGGCGTGTAGCTTACCACCAGGCGCACGACTTGTTCGTTCCGTCACTTGATATTATTAAAAAAATAACAGTATTCAATTTCTTTCAGTGTTTTGCACAAGTACAGCCAAACTACAAGTGGATCCTTACTTTGTCCCCAGTCAGGACCCAAGTTTTGATGCCAGCGCGGCGCAGCGAAGAGAGCGTGTCGGCGACGTCGTCCTGCAGGCAGTCTTCGACCCCTGTCCCGCCGACCAGAGTCAGCTCTCGCTCCAATACGTGGTACTGTTGCGTCACTTTAGCTAAATCCGATGCACTGTGGCCGTCCAGATACCTTATTGCTGCGAACATTATTATTTTTTCTCTTATACTATTTTGTTCTCTAAGTACATACATTTTCCGTAATATTGTTATTATTAATGGCCCAAATGTCTATCGGTCGTAATCACCGCGGCTGAATTTTTCTCTGATGTATTAGATCCATATCCATATACGATATTTTGCGCTTGCTGCATATTGGAAATAAAAATATTTTTTTCAGATCTTAGTGGCGTATATTTCTTTTTATGGAAACCAATATTTCGCTCTTTCCATGTTCGTATGCGATACTTATATAGTATAGTAATAAAAAAATCAATAAATATGTTATACCTAGTTAAGGTCTAATGCGCCTTCTAATTAGACGCTCATAAAAGCTCTCCAGCGCTCCAGCTACTAATGTTCATACAAAATTTTTGGAAGCGCAGCAGGTTTTGCAGTAGTGCCACAATCGCGTCACGCTCGTGCCACTTTTACAGACTAGATATTCTATGAAAATCAATAGTAGTGGCGCGGC